GTGTGCGTGCGTGTGTCTGTGTCTATGTCTATGTCGGTCTATGTCTATGTCTGTGTGGGTGTTGGTGCCTGTTAAAGTTTTTTGACTATTTTTATGTTGGGTAATCTGCCTTTTTCAGGGGGCAGTGATTGATGGCTGAAAATGGTAGATTTTTTTTCTCCCTTCTGTCATTCTTCTCTCTGGAATTTGACCTGAAGAAAAAGAATGGGTTTCAGTATGAAAAGTATCTAGAAATTTGTGAGTAAAAGTGTCATGCAGTAAAAAAGAACTTCCTAAAGTGATGGAAATAGTCTGTATCTGTGATGTTCAAATAGTAGCCATGGGTCTTGGGTGGCTCTTGAGCACTTAAATACGATATTGTGACTGAGAAGCTGGGTTTTAACACTTTATTTAATTTTAACTAATTTAAGTAAGCAAATGGTGGTTACAGAATTATGCAGAGCAGATCTTCCAGATGGATGAAAGACAGGCCAGTTATGAAGAAACTGATACAGGAGTAGCCAAAATTAATGAAAGGAGGGTGCTGTTTCTGAAGGCCCAGAGGCTGTTCTGAGATGTCTGGACAGTTTTGAGTGGCTTGAGTTATTTGCACATGTGTCTTATTGCGCTTGGTCCTACTACTACACATATTTTCTATTTTTCTCTGATTTTGTCTCTTATGTCTTGACCTTCAGTGTGTCTGAGTTTGCAGTTAAATCCAGTGAAATGAACTTTTTTTGCAGTGACTAAATTGCACAGTTGGTGCTGACTTTTCCAAAAAAAGAACCAAATTTTACCATAAAGGCCAGATGACTTATCAGCTTTGCCCAGTACCACATGATGTCACTGCCAGGTTTACAGTGGTTCTCCTCTCTGACAAGACTCAGAGGCACAGGGCTGGGTCCAGAGTGATCACATCCGAGTGACACAACACCATCTCAATGTCTTTGCTGTTATCAAGGCTCAAAAACTTTCACAAATCCAGCAGCTGGAGGACTTGTAAAATTCAAACTGTGGGACCAGTTGTTCTGTGGGTGTGGCCCAATACTTGCATTTCTAACAAATTCTGAGGGGAGGTCAAGTCTGCTGCTCTGGAAATTCACCTTCAAGCACCACAGATAACTAAGTCAGGGATAGTTCCCCTGAGACAGCATCTCTCAGGAATTTAAATTTGGAATGAAGAAGCAAAGAGACTGACAACAACCACAGAAGGTCTGCAAATCACCATTTCATGGGCCCCAAACCAATCAGGTTCCTGTTCTTCCTCAGCCTTGTTGGTTTAGTCCTTTGGATGAATTTCACTATATACTTTCTTTATTTTGCTTAAACTGGCCATAGAATGTTTCTGTTGTCTGCCCCTAAAAGATCTTTAAGGCATGAGTAGACTGAAGTGTTTCACTAAGAAAACAGAAATTCTTCTGAGTCTCTAAAATAGAAGTAAAATGGTATAGGGCCTTGGTCACACTGCTGATAGATGACTTGGGAAGCCAAACTTGTCACTCAGGAGTTAGTAAGAGCGGGAAGCTACCTCCACCCTCAGGCTGGAGCGACAAAGGGAGAAGGCAGTGTTAATGAAGCTAGAACCATGACAGACAAGTCCAACAGGGGGAATGCTGCTGTTACTGTCAGAAACATCACCCAGAGCAAGAGGTGGAGAAATATCTTAGTTTTCCCCTTTTTTCTGTTTGCAGCAGGGGCAGTCAGCCTCTTTGGGTGGGAGGGTGGAAAAGGCTCATTGTGTCACCAAGAACAGTGCCTGTCATGGTACTGTGGACAGAGATCTTGTGGGTCTGAGACTAGCCATGTTTGACTCTGGATTTCTCATTTTTTTCCATCAAAGTTCATTTTTCCTGCTTAAAGATTAGAGAAAGATAATATGAACACGCCACATAATTTCTAATAGTCTCTTATTACAAGTAAGCATTTTGGGGGCTGGGGATGTAGCTTAGCGGTAGAGCCCTTGTTTAACATGTAAGGACCTGGGATTCAATCCCCAGCATTGCTCAAATTCCTCAAAATAATGTATATGTATTTTCATTTTAATTAAATTGTATTTTAAATAGGCTTTAGTTAACTGGTTCTAAAATTAGGCTTGACATTTCTGAGGTAATATTAATTGAAAAATTACAAATGCTGAAATGAAGTACCATTTGTGTAGCACTTTTTAGTTTGGAAAGTGTTTTTACATGTTTCATCTGATTTAATCCTCAAAAACCTTGTGAAGTAGGTATTATTGTCAATCCCATTTTACAAATGAGACTGAGACTCAAAGAAAAGAAGCAACAGATATGAGCAAAGTAATATGGCTCAAAATGGTAAAATGGCACATTCTCAAACCTAGGCTCACATACAACCTTATTGTGAAATACTAAATGTGAAAACATAAGTAAGGTTATAAACTTTAATTTCTACTCTGTTGATATCTCATTTCCTTGCTTAACTAAAATCTATTCTCTAGAGTAAACCTTGGGGCAGAACTAAGAGAAGTTAGTGAAAGATCAGCAACACCCCTCCAGGTGCCTTTGCTCCCTGCCCCCTACCTGTCTGGAGGATCTATTCTCAAAAGCCCCACAGGTTCCTAATTAATAGGCCATGATTATTGGATGAGGCAGGGCGTTTCATAAGATCGTTCCAGAACAGCCACAGTCATTTAAGAACAAAAGGAAAAAAGCAAAGAATCCCTTTTAGTTGAGAATATAAATTAAACCAGACAAACTGGGTATTTTTGATGGTTTATGCAATGACTTGGTCACCTAGAAAGAATGAAATAAAAACACACACAGTGATTGTGTGCAAAAATGAGTGTGTGATTTCCTTTCTGCCTCCACAGTGTTTAAGCTCCCTCCCTCTCTACCTCCACAGTCTGAATTTCTGATGCTGAAGAGCCATCTTTGTTTCCCTTGGTTACCAACGAAACAGTGTGCAGGGATCAGTTCAAATCCAGCACCTCTTACAGAAAAACGACACAACGCCTTCTATCTGCATCTATCTGTATGTCTGTTTGATAGTAAGAATGGCTTCTGTGAACATCCACGTTTCTGTGCTTACAGTCTATTGTGTGCATTGTTCTTTATGTGTGGAGATGAGCGATGTCACGCGGCACACCTCTATACTATTGTTATAGAGAATGAATTTTTGTTATTGTTCAGGCAGATCTTATCCTTTCCTTCATTGCCAGAGAGCCAAGAGAGTTTTCTATAGGGTAATTTCTTCTATTAAATTACTCCTCAGAGTGTACCTCAGTGACATACTTTTATCTATTAGGATAAGCCCTGCCTTATAGAAAGGCTCCACATTCAGTTTATTGAGTCAATAAATTTCAGGCTTACTGACTATGTTTCCATCTAAAAGCTTTACAGATTTATAAAACCAGGAGAGCCTTTAAACTCATCCCAGGTCAAGTTTCTTGAAACTCAGAAAATTTTTTTCACAATAAACTGTGCATACATTGTTTACCTATTAGCTACAGTATCACTGTACCCTTGATCTGATGGCCCAAAGAACATTTGTATCCTCTGGGTTCCATTGAAGATAATATTTTAAATGGACAAAGTAGCTTGAAACAGAAGAGCAACATTGGAAGTTATCTTCCTTCTATGGAGAAAAATGGGTCTGGACTGTAAAAGAATAGCCTTGATAAAAGAAACCAGAATTGAGCACTAAAACATCTCTCAGCTAAACAAAGAATTTTTTCCTCCTGAGCTCCTCAAGTAGTTCCACCGATAGTTTTCATTTGAACCTGTTTGTGTTGCAGAATGAAATAATGTGAATGATAATATTTTCACTAACAATTAGCTGGGGAGTTGTTTGACACCTTAATTGGGAACTTTAATTTCCCAAGAAGATATGGAGAGATTTTGCTAGAGGAAATGGAGGTGTGCATTGGTCCTTATATGTGATTGGGCCATATCAAGCGCCATTATAATTTACTACACATTTGCAACCTGAATAAATGCATTTTTTTTTTCGTGGAGACACCTAGAGATTTGCTGTCAACGCTAATTTTTCACAACATTTGATATTCAATGAATAATGGAATATTGCTACGGAACATTTTTATGTATTAAAAACAAATCTGCCCAAAGGATCAGAATTCTGCTACATACCTTTTGCTTACCTTTAAATAAATATTTACGTGTATTTAGATCAGGAGAATTCTTGAAGAGAGACTGTTGTGAGCTTTAAGGTCTTTAAACACTTTTTTAAAAAGATGATAGCATGGAAAATGAGGTGGGTATTGTGGATTTAAAAATACATGTATGCATGTATACATAATTTAGTGGAACTTTTAGACAAGCATGCTGTCTTCTAGTTGGGAGCCACAGGGCGGGAAGCCGTGGGGAGGAACAAAAGCGCGGCGGGGGACAGTCGCTCCCCGCGCGGCCGGCAGCCCGGCGCTGGCGAGGTCCCGAGTCTGTCACACCGCCTTTGCCTGGTGACAGCTCGGTGCTCCCGTCAGTTCTGCAGACCACGCTGCTTGGTCCCTGGCTCTGGTACACGGGCAGAAGGGCAGCGAGGGGAAGGCGCGCTGACCTAAGCGTGAGGATGCGCCCTCCCTGTCGCGGGCCGGTCGCCGCGTCCTGGGGACCTGGGAAACACCAGGACCCTGTATACTCCAGTCACGGAGTCCCAGGAAGCAGCTGCTCTGGCTGGGGAAGGCGGGGCGCCGCTGAATCTTCTCTCCCTAACCGGGGCACGGCGAACCCAGGCATGGGTCAGACTGACTGGCTGCGGCGTAGGAGCCCTCGCCGCTGCGAAGCAAACGAGGTCAAGTCAAAGGGCGCGACCATAGGGCGCCTCCCTTGGGCCGGGTGTCAGCGCGACCACTGCGCTGGCCTCGCCAGGCGGGAGGCGGGGCGGGGCCCGGAGGGGCGGGGCCGGGGCGGGGTCAGGGGACCGCAAGGTGCATCGGGAAGTGTAGTTTACACTAGCCGCAGCACGAGGCGGTCCCGCTCAGCCTGCCGGGTCGCGCCTACGACTCCCAGGAGCCTCCAGGTCTGCCGGGGAGTCCATGCGCAGTGCGCGCCACATTCTATCCTATCGGAAGAGGAGAGGGTGATGTCACCTGCGAGTTGGTAACCTAGAGCCGCTGTGGAGGAAACTGTTTAACCCGATCCCATTGTACCGGAGCGCATAGCCGCCTTTCCAGCATGCGGGGACTGCTCAGGTGAGGGGACGCCCGTGTCTCCCTCCGCGCGCGTTCCTTGAGGGGTCCCGCCGGCTCGGGCGCGGGTGGGCGTGCGCCTTCGGCCGGGGGCCGGTGCGCGGCGCGGCTTCGCGCTGCCTCGGCGGAGCTGCGGGCCCGTGGGTAAATATTAAACCCGTCCTTCAGGTTGGGTCTGGGTGGGAGCAGCCCGAGACGCGCGGCTGCCGGGCGGTTTTGGAAAATGGCTGCAGACAGCGCGGAGCGGGCGTCCCCCGAGGACGGGTCCCTCCTCCTGTCCTGCCCGCCTCGGGCGGGCTCCGCGCCGCCTCGGGGACGATCGGAGGGGTGACTGGAGTTGGGCAGAGACGGAGCTGCACGGTTCCAGCGAGGGAAAGGGAAAGGGGGCGTTGCGGAGGGATGAGGGGAGTTAGCGACCGCGGCGAGGGCGGGCAGCGCCGCAGAGCCCCTGCCTGCGTGTTTCGCGAGGGGCTCCCAGGAATCGCGCCCTGGGCCGGGACGCAGCTCGCGAGGCCGGGACGCAGCTCGTGAGGCCGGGGCGCAGCTCGCGAGGCCGGGACGCAGCTCGCGAGGCCGGGGAGCAGCTCGTGAGGCCGGGGCGCAGCTCGCGAGGCTGGGGCGCAGCTCGCGCCTCGGAGCCCTGGGGCGGGGTGTCAGATGCTCTCAGGATAGCGCTTGCTGTGGGGAAGGAGGGGTGGATAATCGGGTTTACCCAGCGGGTGCCAAAAGCCAAATCCTTGGGATGGGCTTGCCTTGGATTGGAGACGAGAGCCAGGCCCAGCGATGGGAAGTCTTCTGGATTTCCTTTGGCTTTTCCAGCTGACTCACTCATTCATCAAATTCCGCTAAGTCTCCCCTCACGTTGCTAATAGGCAAGGGTTGGGGTGTTCTGTCTCTTACCCCCATAAAATATTTCACTGCGCTCAGGAATAAATTTTTGCACTCCATTCCCCCGCATCTCGACTGCGCAGAGAGCATCAAGAGCAAATGTCACCCGTGACCGTGTCGCTGTCGTTGAATTGGTAGTTTCTTGAGATCCGAGCAGGACCCAGTGAATTGAAGCCGAGTTTGACTGCCTGACAAATCCCGTTGCTATGGCGACCCGGGCCTTCGGAATCCTAACTGCTGGCACTGCCGTTCAGTTCGCGTGGCTCTGCGGGCAGCTGGGAGGGCGTGGCTAGTGGGTATGGTCAAGTGCTGGACCCCGGGCCCAGCTGCTCCCTTCCCCTCTCAGCCGGGTCACAGTCCCGGCGCCCTCCTCATTCGCTAGTGAATGGCTTGGACCTTGTTCTTGGAGCCTTTCGCTTCCTGTGTGCCCATACTACATCTTCCATCATTCTCCCTCCCTAAAACTAATCTTTTGGCGCAACCCTACCCTCGCCACCGAAAGTTACCACTGGAGAGATTGCTTTCCCCTTTCAGGCTAGCTGCATCATTTCCGTAGCCAGCCAGTATTTCTTCAGAAGGACGCTCTCACCTATTCTTCATAGGAGAGCCCACTGGCCACCAATAAGGGTTCCGAGTTTGCCAGAGGTGCAATTGACTGGAAGTGGCTGGGGGACAATTAAGTGAATTTTGTTTTGTTTTGTTTTGTTTTGTTTTGTTTTTTTGTCTTTTTTTGGTTTTTCTCCAGTACCGGGAACCGAACTCACGACCTTGCGCTTGCCAGGCAGACGCTTTGCCGCTGAGCTAAATCCCCAGCCCCAATTAAGTGAATTTTGAAAGGCATTGCCCTGCCTTGTGGTTCTGGTGAAACCTAAACATCAGCCTAGAGGATGCAGGTCCTAGAGTGAGGGACAGGCTGGGAAGTAGGAGCCCTGGCTCCTGCTCTGGCCTTACTGCCTGCCCTGTCTGAGGTTACCCCTTTACCACTAGGGACCTCTGTTTCATTGGTATTGTGAGGAGAGAATATAGTACAGGGTTCCTAAAGTTGATTCCAGGCATAAAATCTTGTTGTTCTAAAAAAGACCCACACCCCATCGCCAGTAATCTGAAGGTGAGGGTTTAAACCCAGCCTCTAACATTGGGTTAATGTCTTCAAACCTTACTTGCCTGGTAAAATAGTCTGGTTCTTTATGGCAGTGCTTCAGAGTGGGCAGAGCAGCTATATTGTGATTCATACTCCTGCTACTATTCCAGTATCTGGGCTTCTAGTTATACTTTTAGCCTTGGAAGTAATTGTTTAGGTTTTGCCTTTTTATAGATTCTTAGTGAATGCAGTTACTTGTAACCTAATTACATTAAGTATAGTTAAGTTATACATAAATTTTGTTTCCCCCCACTTGCATTTTGTACCAAGTACATCATCACAGAAGTTGCAGGTGTGTGTCTGTGTACCTGTGTTCAAGTTCTGGTAAATATTTAAGGGTGCTCTATGTCAGGGGTGCACACATTATTTTATCTTAAGTAGATGGTTACATCCTCAGGAGGGATGAGAAATAGTTACTATTTTGTCTTAACTCTTAAAGGAAAATCTCCTTCATTGATCTATTGATTTGTCTCCTTTACTAGACTATAAACTCTTTGAGGGCAGGAGCCTAGTCTTGTCTTCTGTATCTCAGCATTTAGAGCAGTGTTTGCCTATTTGTAGATGTTTAATAGTTGTTTGTTGAATATTACGTATTAGAACCTGAGTTCAGTATTCTTTCTAAGGTAGTTCTGTCATCCACTTTTCACATTCCTCTTAGTTTTTGGTCAAAATTTTATTTTACCATAAATGGAAACTCTCTTTGGCATAAAAGTCCTTCAGTGTGTCTGAAAGGGAGATGCATCTTGTAAGTATTTGCTTTTGGAATACACTCACATAGACTATTTTTTTTACTAGTTATAATTTATTACTCCCGAATTTCTAGATTTCTACCGTTTGTACTCTCCTTAGCTCAGATAATTTTCCCATGAGGTGTATGAGAGGAGAATAGGGAGAGAGCCCGAGGCCAAGATTCCTAGCAGCTTTCCCAGGCCACCGGTGGCTCCCAGAGTACCTGGGAGAAAAGAGTCCTGAATAGAACATATCAGCACAGGCTGATAGGACAGAACATTTGTTCAATTTGTGTAACATTGTTTCATTGTTGTGTAAATTTGTTCAATTTGTGTAACGTTGTGTAACATTGTTATCATCCAGTAGTCAGAGCCTGTTTTTTTTGTTTTTTTGTTTTTTTCAGTAGTGTAAATTAGTGAGGAGTTGTGATATTGAAGAGACTGGTGGGTCACATCCTTGAGCAGTGGGTACTTCCCAAGGCTTCCTGAATAGGTGCAGAGAAATTTGAATCCTTTGAATTTTGGCTTTCTTGCTGTGTGGACAGTTCTGGGTCTTAAGGATGTGTATCTGTGGGTGGTTTTATCTGAGCTACTTTGTTTAAAGGACTGCTTTTAGTTTTGTTGCTGTTCTCAGAATAAATAAGATATTTAGGAACAAAACACAGTTAAGTTTGAAAGTGTTTCATTTTTGTAAATATTTTTGGAAGTGATATGAAGAGTAGCTCTGGCTTGAGAATCTTGAATCCTTCTGTAAAAACTAAAAGTTATAGCTGTTAGATCAGAAGAAACAAGCTTTTCCAGCGAAATGTGGTACCACTGAGAGCCATAGGTGTTTGGTTCAGGAAATAATCCACAGAGCTTGTCATTACTATGAGGCGCTCCCTGGCTCCCAGCCATCAAGTGTTAATTCTGTCCATATACTGCAGAAAATAAATCAACTTTCCCAATTTAGCTTGGCAAACTTGTGTTCTGTCTAGAGGGGTCCCCAGATGAAGTGATTTTTCCTCTTTGGATGAGGAATGTGGACTACTGTCTCATTTTGGTATTACAGTTTCTTATTCGGTAGTGTAGGCAATCTTATCGGTGAATATCTGTCCTAACTATATTACAACATCTGCTCTTAGGGGTTTCCTTGAGAGCTCAGAATTTTCAGGCATTCGATTGTACAGATGCTGTGTGTGACTTGTAGGTGCATCTAGTCGTTGAGCAGGCCGAGGCAGGCCAGAGTGGAGGATCCCTCTATGAAGTTACATTAACCTGCCCTTAAAAGTTTCCTTGAGAGGTCAGAATTTTTTTTTTTTATTAATTTTATTGGTACATTTTAGATATACGTAATGATCACATACATTCATAAGAGGAAGTTTGTACCAGTACATATTTCTTAATTCTTTTTCCCTGAATCCCCTCCTCCTTTTAACCCCTCTTCCCTTCATTATATACAAAAGATTTTTTTCTTTTTTTTTTGTTTTTGTTTGTTTGTTTGTTTGTTTTTGTTTTTCTTCCGGTACCAGGAATTGAACTCACGACCTTGTGCTTGCCAGGCAGGCACTTGCCGCTGAGCTAAATCCCCAGCCCCCTGGTTTTTTCCATTTTTTTCCTTATATTCTTTTTTTCCTTTCCCTTTCCCTCCTTTCCCCCTTCATCTCTTGTTCCCCTTTCCATTTGAAGATTTTCTTCATATTTCACAGTACCTGGTACACATTTTTGGTTCTTATTTACCCTTTCAGTTTCTCCCACTAGAGAAATGGGTGTGATATTTAACGTGTGTGTCTGATTCATTTCATTTAAGAGGATGGATTCTTTTTTTTTTCTTCTTTCCCCTGCGCCCCTCCCCAGTTCCCCTTTCTTTTGAACAATTTCTTCCTATTTCACAGTACCTTTTATACACTTTGTTCCTTATTTATACGTTCAGTATCTCATACCAGAGAAACAATGCAATATTGACACGAGCCTGATTTATTTCACATAAGAGTATGTTCTCGAGGTACATATATTTACCTAGAAATGTCTCAAGTTTATTGTTCTTTATGGCTGAGTAGTACTCCATTGTATAAAAAACCCGCATCTTTTTTATCCATTCCTCGGTTGATGGGCATTTTGGTTGTTTTCAAGATTTAGCTATTACAAACTGTGTTGCTATAAACATGAGTGTGCATATATTGTGGTATGATGTTTTTAATTCTTCCAGGAAGATACCCAGAAGGGGACTAGCTGGGTCAAATGGGATTTCTAATCCTAGTTTTTTG